TATATATATATATTGTGTTTTTTATTAATATTGTTAATTTATTTGGTACCTACTATAATTACCACGATTATTACTCCGTTTTCATAAGGCCCACATAACGACTACAACAATTAGGTAAATTACGATATTGCAAAGTTTTAATGAAATAAATAAAAAATGTGTATGAATATTTTAACTAATTGTACTAAGAATTTTTCTTTCATTCTCAACCCTCTCAAAAATAATAAGCACGCCCCCGATTTGCTGTCAACTGGGCTTACTTCTACTCTCAATCATTATTGGTTTTAGTATAGCTGAATTCTAGAAATGGCATCCTGTAGATGTGTTTATATGGACGCATGTGACATCTGGACATTTAAATCTTTTGACGCATGTCAAAACAAATATATTGTTCACAACTGAGACGAAAGTTTTCAAGTGAGTAATTGGACTTTCACATATTAGCGTCGAATGGTAATTTTATTCGAGACAGCCAGTTATGGATATCAATTTTTCGACAGGCAGTTGTTGGTGACTGCTCCAATTGTAGGCTGTAGTAGGAGGCATTAACCATGACGATCATAGATTTTGATTCAAGGTTTCGTAAAATCTTTAAAAACCAACTTTCGAACTTTTGCGCGCCCATTTCCTCGTGGTAGTCACTAGTTTTCTTGTAATCGAAAAGTAACAAAAGCCGTTTTCCAAAAAAACAAATCGCTGCATATATATGACTTACTATGATCCTCCGTCATTTGCCAGCTAGCTGTTGAGAGAGGCCTTCAATAAAAGCTGTCGATAACTTTTTATTTTGAAATCTTGTCATACCTTTGAGATAGTATGACCTTGATTCAACCAAGTCTCATCTGAATAATAATCTTTCTACTTTCAAGACACTAGCTACTCTCGGATTTGTTTCAAGTAATTTTTCGACTTTCTATGAGAGCCCTTTTCCTACCTCTTTGCATAAATTCAATGTTCATTTGCTTCAATGTGGGCAATAAAACACATGATATTTGGGCATCGATTCATCGAAACTTATTTCGGATGCGACTTTTTTGAGATTGGCATTCCATTTCGTTTGAAGAATAAATCGAATTTCCTACGAGTAGCATATATGGTGCAATCATCAAGCTGAATTCCTTTTCTTCCTCTAGTTTCGACGTCTCAAGAGATTATCACATTCACCTTCATTTTCTTTAAAGGTTTTGAGAATTCTGTAAACACTTCTCGTCGACACTTGTTAAATCATTACATAAATTGACTACGTTCGTTATGCAACATATTTTCATTTCGTTCAAGCAACCTACAATACCTACACATACGGATAAATTCGGACGTCTGCGTTTGCTTTGACTGCTTTCACACTCCATATTTCTCACAGTTCACAGCTTGAAATGATATTTTCCTTGTTTCAGTCCTTGAACAAATCCCTTGGTTTTCAGCTGATATATTTTTTTTATTTACTGGTTTTATCTTTTTTCTAGAAATGTAGGTACCTAATATTGCGACGTCGACTCCATTATAACTTCAAAAGGAATGGATTAAATCTATAGAAAGTATCTCATTTCTCTTTTATATTTATCTAGGGTGGATATTATACAAAAATATCATCATTTTATTATACAAAAGGGTATTTCCCATTTTACAGTTTTTATTGCAGAAAATCCCAAACTGTCATCAGTGTTGAAACAGACCTAGATCGACAAAAAAAATTTTTACTCTAGGTATTATTCAACGAATGTTACTTTCATGAATGTTAACCAAACCTCCCTCAGCTGATGGGCCAATATTCATATATCTCTCTATTTCACGGCAAATTCAATATGTTCTTTTTCCGCCCTACAAACATCTCTGTGTACGCAACGTTGCCATTTACACATTCAAGTTGCAGAATATAATTCAAATTTTTTGTATTTAATAAATAAACAATGATGCTGTTGAATACATTTCATTAGCAGAAAGTTTTTTTGATGAATCGAACACCTCCGTTATTCATTGACCATTTTGCGTGTTTATGATCTAAATAGAAGATAATAAAATATATACAATCATAACCTGACAACAATGTTATAATGCAATAATAAGTAACTTTTTTTCATTAATTTGGTTATGTATCCAGTGATGAATTATTTTACCAGAATACAAGGTTATATACCATACAGATGCATCTAAATATATTTTGAGATAAAAATGTGAAAGGTACCTTCAAGACTAATTGGTACATGCTGCAGAATTATAGATGTACCCAATAAGAAATTAATGGATTGATTATATGTAATTTGTATTAGTTCAAATTTAGCACAATTTTTCTTCAATCAAATCACAAACGTGGTGGCAAAAATCTTTTGACATTCGTAATCCCCCTATATGTATGAAAACCCTGCCTGAAACTTGGATGGCGTCATTATTATCTTTCCTCCTTTTTTTTCGTAGCATAGCTCAGACAGTAAAAGTTGTATTCTACTGTAACTCAGATACCTCCATTGAAAATTCCTAAATAATAACTAATAACACTGCAATAGAATATTCTTAATACTGCTGTCAGTAGTCATAAAAACTTCCATGGCTGTCAATTTTGAGATTCTCTGTCTTGTGTTGTCTTGTTTGTTCTGGTTCTACGAAATTCAGGTTCTAGGACGTCAGGAGCATGCGCAGTTGGCATAGAACGTTTTGATTTATTGAGGATAATTTCGGACTGATGAATCCTCTGTTCTGTTCTGGTTTCGACTAAACTGTTTTGAACCGTCCCGAATCATTTTTGCTCTCGAGGATGAATTGTTGAGAACTGTTCCCGTTGCTCAGCGCATTTATATGGAAATTTGTTTGGGATATTTGCTAGGATGTTTTTTCATTTATTTGATTTGAATAATTGATGATTGAGGTTAGATAATTGAGATTCTCTGTCTTGTGTTGTCTTGTTTGTTCTGGTTCTACGAAATTCAGGTTCTAGGACGTCAGGAGCATGCGCAGTTGGCATAGAACGTTCTGATTTGAGGATAATTTCGGACTGATGAATCCTCTGTTCTGGTTTCGACTGCAAAATGATCCTAAACTGTTTTGAACCGTCCCGAATCATTTTTGCTCTCGAGGCTGAATTGTTGAGAACTGTTCCCGTTGCTCAGCGCATTTATATGGAAATTTGTTTGGGATATTTGCTAGGATGTTTTTTCATTAATTTGATTTGAATAATTGATGATTGAGGTTAGATAACATTTGAACTGACTATAAGGATATGCTACATAACAAAATGGACATGATCAATAGTATTTTCTCGTCTTCATCTCTTCATATATCTTCGTATATACGATAGGTGGCACACTGGTCTCATTAAAAGCGTTTTGGTTTAAAGAGGTGTCCGAGACTATTTCGGACTGTTTGAGATTTTTTGCTTGTACGCATTATGTTTTGCGATGTTTCCAAACAGTTTCGGATGTTAAGATCAGAACAAACCCAAACTATTATGGACATACAGGATAGCTTACTTACATATATCGCCATGTTAAAAAAGCGCCGAGGAGATGTGACGTAACACTGGTGACACTTTTAATAGTCGCCATAAAACTGTGTGTTATTTTAATATTTTTTGAGGATTATTTTCGGACAGTATTACATTATTTTTGTTTATTTTGACAAACATTTTTTTAACTATACCAATTAGCTTTCTGAAACATTGAGTTCGTTATTGTGAAAGTCGTATTTTTTTGTGCTTTTGGACATCTTTTAAACTGGTGTAACGAGTAGACGCCATAAGACTCTGTTATTTTCTTCCGTTTTGAGGTTTGTTTTTTGCCATTGTTTTTTGAACAGTTTTAAATTAAATTAAGGTAAATATTGGAAATATTCACATTTCTGTAAATAATAGCAATAATTGTCTAACCATTGAATAACCTTGAATAAACTTGCAAAAGCAATCAGTTGACTTTAAAGAAAAGTGGTGTTACTGATGTAATATTTCACTCTTTTCCTATTGCTAAGGATATGGTTTCCATAACTTTGCAAAAACAATGTATTCGTCGCTGCAAAAGAGGGGATAAATTCACTCTCAAAAATGAATTTTCTCAAATTAGAAGTCGTACGAATGAAATTGAAATTAACGCAGACACGATTTTAGAGCAGACAATAGGATCAAATTGCAGTAGCTCATTTTCATCTAGTAGTTCTAATATTTCTACTAACATTCCTTCAACTTCAAATACAAATATTCCAGATGTAACAGAGGACTCTTTAGAATATACTTATTGCTGAGTCATTTTGCTAAAAAGCATAAAAATGATCTACGTGGTTTGGGCGATTATACTTATAAAATAAAAGCAGAAGATCATAATATACCTTCTTGGGTCCAGCAACCTACAGATAATTGGTTAGAAAAAATTCAAAAGTGAAACAAGCATCATTTAAATGGATTTAGAAAAGGACCAGGAGTTGTAAAAACTCTTTCAAAAAGAAATGCAAATATTATTTTTGAATTTTGCAAACTGAGAACAATTATCAGAATGAAATATAATAACTAGTCTGACAAAATCGCAAAAGTAAAAAGTAAGCAATCCTGTATATCCATATAACCGTTGGAACAAACCTATATATTATCCTACGCATTCATCACCGTCAGTGTCATTTGTCATCAGTGTGTTTATTTTCGTACATTTCAATATAACTTGTTTTCCACTTTTATAACATCAAAAATTTCGAATGTACAATTATTGAATATATATCCGTCTGGTAATAAATAAAGTGAGTAATACATAGGTAATTGCTAAAGCTACATTCTGAAGAAATTACACATCAACACCTTTCAGAATCAAAATGGGGGCCGTACTAGGTCTTTGTTCTGCTGCGCAGGTGAACAACTGACAATATTTTTCGGTGGACAATAGTTATTTCTAATGCATTTCTTTATTACAGCTCGCCTGCTGTTGTGGAAGCACCGCCTGCTCCCTTTGTTGCTCTGCATGCCCATCATGTAGAAATTCAACATCCTCCCGAATTATGTATGCACTTATGTTACTTGTGGGTACTATTGTAGCATGTATCACATTGTCCCCAGGATTAAAAGATGTCTTGAAGAAGGTGAGATATCAGTTACAAAATTTATTTTTAGATTAATTTATTCTTGAAGGATGACATGATTACTATCAATCTAGTTTTCAAGAAAATCAAAGTTGTTTATATACAGGGTGTAACATAAGTACGTTAAAATATTCAAGTGACAATAACTCTTGCAAAAAATATGTAATTTGCACGAAATTCGATACCTGGGGTTTTTTTAACATGGGAAATCATAATTTCCTATTAATTTTCATGTATCATCTAGAGGGCGCTGCGTACGCTGTCATAATTTATTTCAAATTGCCCTAACTTTTTTGACAGTAAACTTTTGGTACTTGTCAATTCCCACACCTTTTCCAAGTAAAAAAAGGTACACCTCCTCAACAACGCTGGAGGTGATCGTTTTCAAAATATTTACAATTTTCTATATCCATGCATATTACTTTATGGCCAAATTTGATTTCAATAATTTTTGTCACTCTTCACTTTCGAATTAAGTTAATTAAATCGAGTAGGCTATGAAAGTTTGTTTATAAAAATTTCACAAATCTTTTGACATGTGACATTATCTTCTTTCAAAACAATTTTAAACTGTAACGTTTTTCATCAAATATTTTATCCAATATTAGACATCCTTTTCCTATTTTTATAAATGTATTGTATCAATGCTCATCCAACACTTTGTGTCCAATATTTTACATAACCATCGTATGAAACATCCTCAAAAAAGTTGCAAGTCTAATCATTCATTTATATCTTAATATTACTTACACCCACAATTTTGTAGCATCCCTGATGATGGAAAAAATTTATTAAATTTCCGAAAGCTTGGAAAAACTTTAAAGAGTACTCTTTCATTTGCTGCTAAGCCCTACTATTTGTTGAGTTCCATTTCTAACTAGTCAGCAACGACTACCCTCTCCTCAATCTACAGGCATGGGGTTCTACCATAACATCGCTACTACATTTGGTAACACAGCAGTTCAGGAATTGAAGCGTTGGTCCAAGACAAAGATGAAATTGGCAAAGGAAATCAATAGAAGGATCTTCTTGCTGCAGTGCAGGAAAAATAATGTCCTCCCGCTACACATTACAGCTACTACAAGACCAGTCGAAAACCTTCTCCTAAGACAAGAAGCACACAATAATGCCAAACAACAAAATCACAGGTTAGGAGTGAAACTTATAAATATTGAAATTGCATCAAATCATAAACTTATAACTAAATTACAATCTTCCCTAACGTTACTAGGTAGAAATATAATCTCTCTTACCAATGAGTTAACCTTCCATAATTTTCAAGGCAAACAACTTCGTGCCTACAACAAACTTTTCCATAGAGTAAAATTTAAAAATTTAAATAAGTTAAATAATCTTAAACTCCATAATTTACAATTAAAATTAAAAACCAATCCGAAATGGTTAAAAAACATTTCTGACA